TGGGCTGAATGAAAGTGAAAAAACTGAAGCTTGGTCCCAGTAAGATGAAGGTCCTATTGGTCCCTAATAGAACCAGTAAGAGGTTGATGATTTCTCCTGTTCTGAATGTAGTCATAACCAATGTTCCCTCTAAGCTGTGGAGTCCTGTGAGCAAAAATTCTACTTGGTGAGCTACTGGCATTAAAGTTGTGAGCAAGCCATTTGGCTACTGCATACATTAGTTTGCTCTGGAGCCATCCTTCCTGAGCTAAGACAAAAATGTGTGAGCCAGAGGCTAAAAAACTGTGAGCTAGCTCACACTAACTCAGAGGGAACACTGGTCATAACCCACCCACCCCCCGAACAAGTTTGCAACTTGGGGGTTCTGCTTGTTGTAGATCTGCAGCTGGAGGTACAGGTCTCCTCTGCAGTGTGTAGCATCTTTCACCAGCTTGGATCAGTATGCAGTTGTCCATGGACTGAACACATCCCAGATGAATTACTGTAATACTCTTGGGGCTCCCTTGAAGATGCTTTGAAAGCAGCAATCAGTGCACAGTGCAACAGGTAGATTGCTGACAGGTGTTTCCTATAGACAACATATTATGTCTATATTGAGTAAATTGCACTGGCTGTCAATTTGCTTCTGAGCCCAGTCTAGATGGTGGTTTTGACCTTTAATGCCCTGATATTTTAATGGTCTCAATATTTGAACCACTTACTCTGTGTATTCTTTCACATCAGTTAAGATCTTTGTCATGGGTTCTGCTTCATTTTCTATATGTAGCAGAACAAGAGGGACCATTACATGAAACAGAGCCTTTCCCATTTTGGCACCCCAATTGTGGGATGCCTTTTCCCCAGATATTCACCTGCTGTGTTCACCTGGGGTTTTGTTAAATGGTTGGTAAGTCTGTGTTTTAATCTGATGGCTTTCCCCATGCTTTTGTGTTTGAATTGTATCGGTTACTTCACCTATATTTCAGTTTTTGAGCATAATTTTGCTTTGCTGTTGTGCATATGTTTACATTTGTTTACATCTACCTTTTCAGTCTGTTGTTACATGGTTTGTGGAGCTTGCTGTACGTTAGTCTTAATTGTTTCTAATTCTGCTTCTGTTTAAGTCTGCTGCCAGAAGATTGGTGACGGTTGCTCTCAAGATGGTGTTAATTGTTTTTAGTATGGCTTTGCTATTTTGGGTTGGTTTGGTGTGGTTTTTATTGTAGTATTTAATTTTGTTGTAAACTGAGGGGCCTTTGGCTAAGGAGAAGGATATATGTATTATTCCCATAAAGGTTCTTTTGGGTTCGCATTCAATAATGTGAACCCAAAAGAACCTTTATGAGTTCTAACAAGAATTTTGAATTTTGAACAAAGCTCTCCTAGCCACCTCTGCCAGCTATTTATCAAGGATGATACCAACAATACCCCCCCCCCAAATTTGAGCCTAGTCTTTAAGAGGGTATGCAAGTATGTCTAATACACACTGGACACTTATTCCCTTGCCAGTTTTTTATGCACAATCCACTGCACTTCAACTCCCTGGATTCACTAATATCTACAGATGTTGTCATTATTGTTGTTGTTGTTATTTCTGAATCACCCAATGTACAACAACATATATAACATAAAAACTGTAGAATTAAAATACACACAACAATAAATTACTAATACTCTTAAAAAGAATCCATGATGGCGTGACTATATTTCTTCCCATTCTGGATTGCACTGCCACCTCATGGATAGGGGACAAAGAGAAACACAACAACACAGAAATGAGTCTGGAGGAAAAGGAGAGGATGCCAGCCATGATGGAAACCATTGCTGTCCTCAACCAAAAACCTGGTGGAACATCTCTGCCTTACAGGCCCTGCGGAATTGCATTTGATCCCGCAGGGCTCCGGTAGTATTTGGCAAAGAGTTGCACTGGGTGAGGACCAAGAAGGCCCTGGCCCTGGTTGAGGACAGCCAGACATCTTTGGGGCTGGGGATCACACACAGTTTTATTCACTTCCATCCACATACATTTGTCTAGTTAAAGACATCTTGACCTTTTCTGTATTTTACCATGTATAATGAAAAAATTGTGTTTTTAGCTCAACTAATCCCTGAACAGTTAGATGACTTACAATTGTTGGCAATACTCATTGTTTGCTTTGCACTGTTGGTGGCCAGTATTAGATTACCTATATTATGTTTCTAGATGGCGAGAATTCTCAATTGTTCTGAATTAATAGACTTTAAAAAAACAGGAATAGGAAAGAATGAGGACAAAACTTTCTTTTGTAACCATGGTTGTCAAACTACAGTGAATAACTTAATGAAGGATTAAGAGAATCTTAGCAAGTATATAGAGTGTTAGTAAGTATATAGTTCCCTCTCCAGGCAAGCTGTAGGCAGATTAGATGAACAGTAGCCAACATTACCTCCTAGATATTCTCTGTTGTTGGATGTAAGCATTTCAATGGTAAAGTCCTTTAATCAGACATTTGAGCCAAGCAGGAACAATCCTGTGCTACACAATTCCTTTGAAGGAATCTGTCATCCTTTCATCTCTTCTCCAAATTTACACTGATATTTAAAATGGAGTTCAGAGGGAACCAGGGCATTACAGGCTTGTTAGCCTAGTAATAGAAATAAGAGGAGAGTTCTCACAATGGAGGTAAGTGGGACTGGTATAATTTAAATGGCTTACAATGTGGCCAAGTTTGTAAATGATACCAAATTATTTAGGATGGTGAAGCCCAGACAGATTGGGTGAGTGGGCGCCAACTTGGCAAATGAAGTTCAGTGCAAATAAGGGTAAGGTGATGCACACTGGAACAAAAAAAAATCCCAGTTGACCCCATATGGTGATGGGTCTGAACTGATTGAAATGGAAAGAGATCTTTGGGTTGTAGTGGATAGCCTGAATATGTCAACTCATTGTGCTGCAGTTGGGAAAATCAAACTCTGTGCTGGGGATTATTAGAAAATTAAAAATGCTAATATTGTAACATAATGCAATGTATCAGTGTATGGTGTGACATCATTTGGAATACAGTAAGGGGTTTTCATCGCTGCATCTCAAAAAGGATATTGCAGTGTTAGAAAAAGTACAAAAGAGGACAACCAAGATGATAAGGGGTTGGAGCACTTTTCCTGTGAGGAAAGGCTAAAGAGTCTGAGACTTTTCAATTTGGAAAAAAGGCACTTAAGGGTTTATAAAATTATGCAGGGGGCAGAGAAAGTGGGTAAGGAGAGCTTTCCCTCCCTCTCTTATAAACATGAGTTCAAGGACACACAGTGAAGTTGATAGGCAATAGTTTCAGGATGGACAAAAGAAAAAACTTCTTACTCAGTGACTGATTAAATTGTCCAGAGGATGTAGTAGTGGATTGTACCACAGATGGCTTTAAAGGGGGATTAGACAGATTCATGGGGATAGGTCCATCAGTGGCTACTAGCCATGGCGATTAAAGAGAACATCCACATCCTGATGCAGTAAACCTTTGGATCCCAGTGTTGGGAGGCAACATGAGAAGGCCTTGGCTTCTATGCCTGTTTGTTGGCCCTTCAAGGTAACTAGTTAGCCACTCTGTGAAACAGCCTGATGGAGTGGGTTGACCTGGTATGATCTAGCAGAGCTCATGTTCTTATGAGATACTAAATAAAAATCAGCTCAGAGAAACATAGACCCCAGACTGTCCCCAGGGAAGCTGGACTTTCTGGGTTATTGGGGGAGGGGGGGTTGCTTAGACATATGCTTTTATAGCCCCCCCATCTTCACAGCCCTGCCTACTAGCTTGTATGGATATTTTGTTCTATCCCTCATAGGGTATAATTGCAGGCTGACTTGCTCTGTCTACCTGTCATGGGAGGGGGGAACCATCATTTCTCTTCACTATCCTCCTCCCCATTTGCTTTGCTGTATGGTGGTTACAGGTAAAATATTTTTGCATCTGCCTGCCTAAAACATGCTTAGCCTCCAATAACAGAATACCTCAGCCATCCAAGACCAATAGCTATATAGAATCAGAAAACCCATCCCAAATCAATGAAATGGTGCCACGATTGGCATTTTTGTGATCAGTTTTCCATTTTCTGCTAGCTAAATGGTTTCTCCATCACATATGCTAGTGTTGATTTACTCATTCTTTCCTTTCCCTTCCTACCCCCCTCCTGCCTCATATTGCCAAAGAGAAATGAAACCACAAAGGAAGGTGTTAGGATAATCAGAAGATCAGAAAGCATCCACCCATACCCAAATATTAGAAATTATTTTGGTTGGTTTAGGAAATATTTTAACATTCCCAAATTGTGGTACTGTCTAGATCTTAATTAGTACCTTTCCAACTGCACATCAGTACTAATGCTATGAACAGAAGGTGACTTGTGGACCAAGATCTATTCAAAGATGCATCCCACAAACCTGAACTACTACATTTCTTTCATTTCCAAAAGTAATTCTGAGAACTAGAAGAAGAAGAGAAGAGATTGGATTTATACCCCACCCTTCAACACCCAAGGGAGTCTCAGAGTGGCTTACAAACTCCTTTCCCTTCCCCTCCCCACAACAGACACCCTGTGAGGTAGGTGGGGCTGAGAGAGCTCTGACAGAAACTGCTCTTTTTCAAGAACAGCTGTGCCAGAATTATGGCTTGGCCAAGGTAATCCAGCAGGTGCAAGTGGAGGAGTGGGGAATCAAACCCAGTTCTCCCAGATTAGAGTCCACGCACTTAACCACTACACCAAACTAGTTCAGGAGCTCCTAAATGGTGCTGATGTGTACATGAAACTGTCTCTTAATACTCTGTGGAATGTCAGCTGTAGCTCATCATAGAAAACTTTGAGGCCACTGAAAAATGTGTTTTGCTGAATCTGTCATAATATTGTATTTACCAGAACACCCTGTTGCTTCCCAGTATCATCTACCTGTTCTTACTGTCTTGAGCAGGAGGTGGAGTTGCCTGTATTTTGTTTTTAAATATCTGTAACTTATCTTTTGCTTGCTCACTAATATGATTTTTCCTTCCTTACAGTGAAAGTGGAAAAAAGCCCCCCGGTGAAGGGCTCCCTGGCTGGAAGAGCTGTTCTTCCTTGCTTCTTCTCAACCTTGCCTACATTGCCCCCAAGCTACCACAACACTAGTGAATTTCTTCGGATCAAATGGTCAAAGGTTGAGCAGGATAAAGGAGGAAAAGATCTAAGAGAATCTACAGTTTTGGTGGCCCAAAATGGAAATATCAAGATTGGACAAGGCTACAAAGGGAGAGTGTCAGTTCCAAGCCACCCAGAAGACATTGGTGATGCATCGTTAACTATGGTGAAATTGCGGGCAAGTGATGCTGGGGTTTACCGCTGTGATGTCATGTATGGAATAGAAGATACTCAAGACATCATCTCACTGGCTGTTGATGGTAAGATTCTATTTGTTTTATTTAGAGCTTTCTCTCTCTTTCTGTCTGTCTGTCTCTCTCTCTCTCACACAGACACACATTTGTGCGCCTTGTATATCAAGCAACATTAGAAGAAGAAGAAGAGATTGGATTTATACCCTGCCCTTCACTACCCAAAGGTGTCTCAGAGCGGCTTACAAACACTTTTCCCTTCCCCTCCCCACAACCAACACACTGTGAGGTAGGTGGGGCTGAGAGAGGTCTGACAGAAACTGCTCTTTTTCAAGGACAGCTCTTATCAGAACTATGGCTTGCCCAAGGTCATCCAGCCAGGTGCAAGTGGAGGAGTGGGGAATCAAACCCGGTTCTCCCAGATTAGAGTCCACGTACTTAACCACTACACCAAACTTACAGTTCTCTTCCTCTTCTATTTTAGTTTCATAAATGGCAAGTTTGAGAAGGTGACCACACCCTCCCCCCAATTTCCCAAAGTGAACTGCCAGCAAGTTTAATTTTTTCTACACAGCTCCTACCTCTGAGCTGGCAAGTGTAAGGAGAGAGGAGTTAGTGCTCCTTACTTGGTTGGATTTTGCCACAAAACCTCCTGTTGAAGATCTCTAATGTTAAAAAGCTCTTTGTACTCTTCTGATCTTCCTTCCCAGGAAACCTTTCCTCCCTCCTCCCATTCTTTTAAAGCAGAGAAGTAGTTAATTGTCACAGTTCAAAGGAACCCCAGGGTTTCACTTAAGAGGATCCCTGTTCTCAACATCCCTCATCTTGTACTTCCCTCCCTTAGGGCTTCTGTGCAGACCAGAATGGTCACCATTTTTTTGCTTCTAGAGCTGCTGGAATGCTAGTAAATTTTTGTCATGGTTAAAAAAGTTGCAAGTAGTTAAGACTGGAGAAAGGAACATGCTTTAGAGGGAGAGTATTAGCCAAAGGGAAATATACTTTTCTGCTGCTGTTAATGTTATATATAGTGATTTCCAAAGCGCACAAGGCAACCAGTGTTCCCTCTAAGCTGAGTTACTGTGAGTGAGCTAGCTCAGTTTTTTAGCCACCAACTCACACATTTTTGTCTTAGCTCAGGAAAAATGGCTCCTGAGCTTAGAGGGAACACTGGACTGTGAGCTAGCTCAGTTTTTTAGCCCCTGACTCACATTTTTGTCTTCACTCAGGAAGGATGGCTCTAGAGCAAACTAATTTATGCAGTAGCCAAATTTCTCGCTCACAACTTTAATGCCAGTAGCTCACAAAGCAGAATTTTTGCTCACAAGACTCCACAGCTTAGAGGGAGCATTGAAGGCAACCTACATCAAAAGTACCTTCTCTTGTGGCAACTCCAGCCACTGTTCTGCTTCCATGTGCTGGAGGAAATATGTAGGGGTCAGGATCGCGTTATTATGAGATATAATATAAACTGGAAACTTTGCTCCTACTTTCTCACACACAAATACATAATTATGGTCTTTCTATACACGAAGAAAATAACACACCTCCTTCACCACAACATTAGGGGAAGCATTACTAATGGCAAATGTTTAACATTAAGCTTCTCAGCTTCATGAAACTGGCAGGAAAGTGATGGTACTTTGTAATACACTAAAAGGTGGTTTTCTGTTTTCTTTGCATTCCATTTGCAAATGAATCGTGGATGCATGTTTCATTCTGTACACAAGAAGGTAGAAAACATGCCGCCTATTGTTAACACTATCATTTGATTTCTTTTTTTATGATGAGAACAATTCAGACTTTATTTCTGGTAGTTTATTAAGGTGAAAATTAAATCACTTACATTTTTGGAATGTCATCACGGCAGCAAGCATGCAACTAAATCACTTACTGCATTATCCCAGTAGTGAGTTTGTTAACTCAAAAGTACAGGGCTCTAGTCGGGGGGGAGCTCTCAGGTACGGAGCTCCGGAAGAGAACCTCTAGGGGGCGGGGCGGTCACGTGGTGAAGCCCCGCCCCCTTCTTTACCCCGCCCTCTGCTTCGATCCTCATTCCGTTTGGGAATGAGGATGAAGCAGGAGGGTAAGTAGCCGGGCCTTCTGACACACTTCCGGTGATGTCAGGGGGTGTGGCCTTCTGTCACTTCCGGTGATGTCAGGGGGCGTGGCATATGCAAATAAGTTATGCTAATGAGTTATGCTAATGAGCTCCGGCAGCTCTTTTTCTACAACAAGACCCCTGCAAAAGTATATCTATATATCTAATAGCCAAGTTGCCCCCGGAGTGCGGATCGCTAAATCAGCGCTCCGGGGGCACTTGGGGGGGGAGGGGGAGGTTTGTGCACACGTGGGCCAGTCCCCACGTGTGCACAAAAATACTAAAAGTTGAAAAAAAATTCGGGGAGATGTTTAAATCCCCCCAAAACTGGCAGAGCGTCCCCTGCGCATGCGCAGGGGACGCTCTGGAACGCCGCCTCCGCCTCACAGCCGCTTTGCGGGGGAGAGGGGGGGAAGCGCCAAGGCCCGGCGGCCAGAAGCCGCGTGGGCCTCGCTCTCAAGCCGCCCCCCCGGCCGTGCAGGATCGGTGGCCCCTTCCCCCAGTGCAAGCTGACTTACTCACTTGCATCCCCCGCGAGATGGATGTGGCCGCTGCCGTCGGCTGCCCGCCCTGAGCAAACAGAGCTGTGTCCTCTCTCCTTCCCAGGAGCTGCTCGACCCAGGCGGGGCACGGACCGTTCTCTGTTGACTCCCCGGTGGTGCTGAGAGCTCAGTCATTACTAGCTGGGAAGCTGCGGGAGCAGCTGCCGCCGCACTCCCCTCCTCCTCCTGTGCTGATTTTATCTCTCTCAGCAAACCGGGCTTGGGAGAGGCACGCCAGAGTCCCGCAGAGGTGGAAATTAAACTGGGGCGACGTCCCCCTCATGGCATCTCCGTGCTGGGAAAAGCTGCCGTGGAGAAAAACCTGGCACTGTTCTCTTTGGCGGTTAAGAGCGTAGGCGGGCAAAACGCGCCTCCTGGGCTGAGGAGTCGGCCTGGCTCGGGTAAGGCGACATTCTCTCCCGGAAGAGCCGGTTCCCTGTCCGGGGTGCCCCAAGCCTGCCCCCCCCCTCGCAGCAGGTGGCAGCCCTTCCTAGGTAGCCCTGACCCAGCCATGGTCCTCCGGACTTTGGGCCCCTCTTCCGGGTCGGGTGATCGTCAGGCCCCCTCTGCCCTTGAAAGCGGTCCGGAAGCTTCCGCTGGAGCCCAAGTTACTGGCTTCACCACCGTCTGGGCTTGGAAAGGCCTGCACCGCCTCCGGGCCGGTCTCCGTGGGTGAAGGGGTAGCTCAGCACAGCCCAGGCCAGGACCCAGAAAGACTGGCTGCTTCCATCAACAGAGATCTGGTTGCAGGTAGAGATGTAAAATTTCCAGAAATTTTGAAGCTCAGAAACCCGCAGGGCCCTCGCTTTCCAGCCGGGTGAGGAGGCGGGTGGGGGGGAGATCGAGGGGGGGCCATACGGAGGAACCAGCGGGATGGGGGGGAAACGTTACCTGTTCCTGACTCCTCCTCCGCCTGAATCCCCCCCCGCGAGTTTCGCGGGTCGTCTGGCTTGTAAATGTTATAAACTAAAGGGGAACCAAAGGCTCACATGAGATCCTCAGAATAGAATTGAACCTCCTGTTACAGATCAACATTATTTAATAATTCTATGCCTATTCCAGCCTTGAAAACAGGGAGAGTACAGACTTCCATCTCTTATCTACATTGTTGAACTTCTGGCAGGCTTTGCACCCAGCAAGGAAATACCACATCTTCCTCACTATAATAATAGGGGAAAGATTGCTGACCACAAATATTTAACAAGCATTTATTTGGATTCCAAAAATTATTAAATTGGCTAAAAGATTTTAATGGTTTCAAGGGAAACCCTATTAGCAAATATCTGTGGGATTTTACTGGCAGATATATATCTTATCTATGTCATCAACAAGGCCATTCATGTTCTCAGCATCAGTATGGTACGTTATGTGCATGACATACCCTCATATTTGGAAGTCAACAAAATACTTTAATTTGCATGGACATATCATATAATATACCAACACATCTAAGAAATGTCTCTGCATTATATATCAACACAGTTAAGAAATGTCACTGCGCGCGCACACACACAGCACACACATACAAGTTGTAGAAATGTTGAAATGGGAAAGCAAATATAGATTTCATTATCAAGTTATTGTATTGTGGATCCACTAGAGTGTTTCTGCAGATGGATGGAACTTGGGGTTGCCAGCTCCAGGTTGGGAAGTACCTGGAGATTTTGGGGGTGGAGTCTGTGGAGGGGGAGGGACCTCAGCAGGGTATAATACCTAATAGTCCACCCTCCAAAGCAGCCATTATCTCAAGTGGAACTGATCTTGGTCATCTGGAAATCAGCTGTAATAGTGGGAGATCTCCAGTATTACCTGGATCACCTGGAGGCTTGCAACCCTAATGGAACTCTGCTTGCAGTGAATGACTTGCTCACCTCCTCCTGCTGCAACCCAAAATGCTCCCATGCAGCTCATAGTAACCATAGGATCCAACCCACTGTATCTATCTATACTTGGACATTCATGTTCACACTTTGATTGAAAATTACAGTTATTTTGAAGTGAGATGGATGGCTCACACTTGCAACATCACAATGCAGTTTTAACATCCAAACACAGATGCTTCTTTCTCCCCTTTGCCCACTATTGATCTTGTAATAATAGCATGATGGCAGCCAAGCAGGCATAGCATGGAGGCACTTCAGAGAAGACAGAAATGACAGTAGTGAGAACCAGTGCAATAGACAGTGGTTGATTTGAATGGCGAGATGTGAGCTTAAAAATCCATGTGATGTTTACTTGCCATTCTTTTTCAGTTAAGGTTGCCAACATCCAGGTAGGGACTGGAGATCTCTTGGAATTGCAACTGATCTTCAGACTAAATGCATTGCTTGTTTATTTGTTTAAAATATTTATTCCACTTCTCCTGGAGAAAATGGCTGCTTTGGAAGGTGGGCAACATGGTTGGCACTATAACCTACCAAGGTCCCTCCCCTCCCTAAACCCCACTACCCCAGGCCCAGTGTTCCCTCTAAGCTGAGTTAGTGTGAGCTAGCTTACGTTTTATGGCACACATGGCCTGGCTGGACAGAGTGACATTTATGTCAGATCTGGCCATCATAACAAATGGGTTCTACACCTCTGGTTTAGATTTTCCCTTGCTTAGAAGTCTATGGGAAAATGCAATAACTAAGCAATATTGTCCTTCCTCAGATTTCATTAATCTGAGATGTATTTGCAAATCAAACCATGTCTTGTCTTTCTGTCAGCTTCAGTTTGCAAAGCAGTTTGGATGACCTGTACATTTTTGTTCTTGTTCCTTTTGTAAGCCAATATGAATTTGATATGAGTTGCAAAATTCAATATTCATTCAGCCCAAATAGAACACAAAATCAAAACAAATATCCCCTCTGGAATTACTTAAAAGCTTCAAAATTTCAGGTGCTGGTAGATAGTAGCTGCCATCTTTATATATAATTTTTGTTTCCTAGAGAGTACTGAAGTCACTTGTGGTTTTCCCCCAGAAATGTTGTTATGGTAGTCAGAGGTCATTTCGGGGGGGATCGCAGTTCCCTCGGGTGAGGTACAGGGGGCGGGGCACATGACGAATCCCCGCCCCCTGCTTCCAGCCGCCCCGCTTCCAGCCCTCATTCAGCCAGGAGGAGGCAGGAGAAGAGGGAGGGTAAGTTGCTTCCTCCCTGCCTCTCCCCACCCCTGCCTGCCTGGGGCCAGGGAGGCCCTTCGCGGGGCTTCCTTGCACTCCTGCTGGCCTTGCAGGTCCACCGTCGGGCCCCTCATGGGGCTCGGCAGTGGAGCTGCAAGGCCGGCGGCGGCGGCCGGGACCGTTGGGGGCGGGGTGTGTGACCTTATGACACACTTCCGGTGATGTCAGGGGGTGTGGCCTTATGACACACTTCCGGTGATGTCAGGGGGTGTGGCATATGCTAATGAGTTATGCTAATGAGTTCCCCTAGCTCTTTTTCTATGAAATGACCCCTGATGGTAGTGGTTAGGCAGCTGATACAAGAACTTGAAAAGCATTCAGCAGCAGCATTGATCCCATCTCATGTTTCTACATTTTTGTACCCTTCAGCTCAAACTTTCTTAGTGACACATACAGTGTTCACTTCTTCAATCAAGGGAAATAATTAGTCACCATAGTTGCCTGAGAGTTTACCATTCCCTGCTCCCATACCTTTCACAGCTACCTGATCTGCAGGCATTAGTGGGTGATAATTTGGGATTGTGTGCTACAGTCTGGTTCCCATTTCCTTCACCAGAGGAGGTGAGGATTTTTGCTGAGTCCCCTTCCTGCTGCAGACTCCTATGTTGCCAACCATGTATTCATGATGGTCCACCCCTGGGGAAAAGTTCTGGGAGTGGGGCTGCAGTAGGAGAGGAGTTAGGGAGGTCCTGCTCAGCTCTTTGATCTTGGATGCTACAAGACACCAGATCTCCATGCTTCATTTGTGAATAGGGTTGCCAGGTCCTATGTGGCTGCTGGTGGGGGGTTCCAGGGTCCATCCTGGAATCTTCTGGAAGTGACATCATCATGTCACTGACATCAAGGGGGTGGTGCTCTAGTTTTGGGGCAAAACTCTATGGTTTGAGCCCAATTTTACCATAGAGTTTGGCCCAAAAACTAGAGTGTCACCCCCTGATGTTGACGACATGATGTCACTTCCAGAAGATTTCAGGATGTCACGTTCAGGGGCATTTGCGGGTGGGGTTTCTCCCCCACCAGCCAGCTGGTTGATGGCAGAAAGGGCCCCCCAAAAGTGGGGGGACCCCTGCCTGGACTGGGGGGCCTGGCAACCCTATTTGTGGACTTCTGCAGAACAAGCTGCCATTAAAGGCACAGGAGGTGGCTAATAGTACAATACTATGCAGTGTTATAAACCAGTTTTTAATATCTAGCAATCCTGTTTTCACTACCTCTGTTTGCTCCACCACAACACCACCTTTGTGATTGTTTCGCTCTACTTCATCATTCTCAGTCTCTCAGCATTTAAATGCATAATTTAATCCTTCAAACCAAAGGTTATTTTTTTGTCATGGGACCTTGTTAAACTTAAGTATGTAAAGGCTATCAGAGGAATCATAAATGTACCACTGAAACCATAAATTGATTAGCAGGCCACTGTAATATGGCAGTTTTATTAGCGGAGACTTACCATCTGTAGACATGTCAACAAAAAGTTCTTTTTAAAAAGTCATCCAGTGCTGAAAAATCAGGTCTGTAACTTTTCAAGCAACCCCGCTTCTCTGTCTTTAAAGATTTCTTAAAATATAAATAATAAAAGATTGATAACAACACATAGTCTTGCCAATCTAACAAATGATTTTAATTGTTTGCAAGAAATTTAATTTCCGTATCTTCAAGTTTGCTCTATTCTGAGAGCTCAGTGCTCTTATTTAAAGTTTAAAAATGTAAAATAGAACAGCAATATATAATCCCACAGAATCCTAACAAATTTAATTCAGAGTAAAACACACCAATTTCAGTTTCCCTTGAAGTGCTCGTGGCTTTCCCTCCAGAAATTACTCTTGCTTGTCTAAGTTGGGACAAAAGTATTATGCAACTGTAACTCGCTTCTCAGTTGCTATATTTTGTCACTCTGTGGTTGAATTCTTGTAACAAAGAGACAGAAGGGAAAGACAAACTCCAATAGATGTTCTAAAGTGAAGTTGGACAGCAGATTTTTCTCTTATTTTACTTCCAGCTGAAACAATGGAAGCTTTGGATTTTAAGTTACTTCTGCAAGGTGGCAACTCCCCATTCTGCTGATTGCTGCTGCAAATGCAAAGGACATTCACAGCAACAGCAGTGCTTTCCCCCCTTGTATGCCACCACCAGCCCCAGCAGGCATTTGCTGTTTTGTTTTTCATATTGGTAGTAGATACAGTGTTAAAGCACTTTAGTGATACACCAGATACTGATATATTTTTTAGAAGCCTGCTGGTGATGGGGTGGGTGGTAAAACAGTGGGTGGGATGGGAAATGGAACTGGATGTGCCACCAGATGTGGGTGGGGAGAAATGGGAATCTGCACTTTCCCCTCCATACTTTCCCAGACCGAGTGAAGGGTGGGGTATAAATCCAATCTCTTCTCTCTTCTCTTATAACAACTCTGTGAGGTATGTCACACTGCATAGGACTGGCCCAAGGATACTCAGCTGGTTTCAGTGGCAGTGTGGGTCTCCTTCATTTATGAGCAGCTTAAAAGTTTGAAGAAATATGTGCAGGAGGGATGGGGAGTTTGCTATTTTGTACCCTCTGGAACTGTACTGAGTAATATTTCCAATCCTTGTTACATGGTGGTTTAACTAAGCTAGAGAGAAAATCACTGTAAATCTAGTGACTGTTGCTGCAATATGAGTTACTAGGATGGACTTCCTTTCTCCACAGGTGTTGTGTTCCACTACCGTGCAGCCACCAGCAGGTATACCATGAATTTCAAACAGGCTCAGGAGGCTTGTATAGAGAATGGCGCTGTTATAGCAAACCCCGATCAACTGAAAGCAGCTTATGAAGATGGATTTGAGCAGTGTGATGCTGGCTGGTTGTCTGACCAGACAGTTAGGTGAGAAAATTGGATTTCCCCTTGCCTGTGTATCTGGATATAAATAACCTTGGTACATCCTTAGTGGGGAATGGCTTAAAGAAACCTTGACCTTCACCAGCTTTAACTTACTGTCTTGCAGATATCCCATCAGGTTACCCAGAGTTGGCTGCTTTGGAGACATGATGGGAAAGGAAGGAGTCAGAACCTATGGATATCGTCTTCCCAATGAAACCTATGATGCCTATTGCTATGTGGGAAGCTTGAATGGTAAGCAAAACAATTATTCATAGTTGTGAATATGGTGGCTAAAATGAAGTGCTGGCATGTGACTAGAGTGTATGTGACTTTTATAACCACCAGACATCACGGTCATAAACTGTAAGTACTGTAAGTATTTAAAGTACTTTATTTTAATTTATGTTTTGTCTTGTTAAACAGAACAAATACCAGTATTATTAATTAAACTTATCCAGCATTAAACTCTTCTTATAGTTAGAACCACTGCAGAGAGTCTTCATGTAAGCATGGTGTCAGAATAATGATTCTTATTCTTTTCAGCATGGAAAATGGAACTGCAGTTCATCTATCTACCTAGTACCTTTTTATCCCTCTCCAGGGGTCATTTCGTAGAAAAAGAGGTGCAGGAGCTCATTAGCATAACATATTAGCATAACTTATTTGCATATGACACACCCCCTGACATCACCAGAAGTGTGTTAGAAGGCAACACCCACCACCCAGGCTCCACTGGATTGTTTTGGATTGCTAGCTATGGGGGGGGGGGAATGTGCAGATCTGTCCTCACAGAGGAGGGAGAGCTTGTACCTGAAGGCGGGCCAGTGGGGGGGGGGCTCTGCAACTTACCTGGCTGCTTCTTGTTCCTTGTGGTCCAACTGAGGGCTGCTGGGAGCAGGGGGTGGGGCTTGTTGCATGTGCCCATCCCCTGGGCTCCTTACTGCCAGAGCTCCACTCCTGTGCACTCCCGCAGGAAATGACCCCTGTCCCTCTCTACCTCCAAGAAGCTCAGGGTACATTAATCTCCCTGTTCAATTTTATCCTCACAACAATATTGTGAGGTAAGTTCAATTGAGGGAATGTGGCCAAGGTCACTCAGCAAGCTTCTCTGGCAAAGTGGGGATTTGGAACAGTCTCCCCCTGATTCTAGGACAGTACCTTAACCAGTGCTATTTTTGGGCAAGAACGCACAGGAACGGAGTTCCGTCTGGCTTCAGAGTTGGCCACACCCACTACAGCCAAAACCTCTGGATGCGTGGCTACAGAGGGAAGGCCTGGAGAGTGACCCTCCCGGTGACTCCAAGGCGGGTGGGCCAGGCCCTCCCTGGAAGGATCGGGGAGGCATTTAAGTGCCTCCCCGTGCCTTCCCCAGCCTGTCCAAGGGCCGGCTTGCCCAGACTCCCCGCAACCATGGGGCACCCAGGCAAGCCAAGGGAAGGCACGGGGTGTGGCCTAATATGCTAATGAGCTGTGCTGTCAGGGTATGGTCTAATATGCTAATGAGTTTCTGCTGTTGGAAGTGGCCTATTATGCTAATGAGTTCCTGCTGGGCTTTTTCTACAAAAAAAAGCCCTGACCTTAACCACCACATCACAAAGGTTCTCACCTATAGGAATGGTCCTATTGTTTGCACAGGGATGTGGAGAGCAGGGCTTATTACTTAGAAAGAATACAGTTAGCAAAATCTGCTTCACATGTTTCTTAGATTCTTAAGAAATTAAGAATGGTTCAAGAAATTCTAGTAACTTTCAGGGAAATTATACTAATCAAAGGAGCAGGTAAAATAAATAGCAATATTAACATCCAAACATATAAATTAGATAAACATATGGAGCAGAGGTCCATCAGTGGCTGTTAGTCATAAGGTATAGATGGAACACTATGTCTGGGACAGTGATCCTCTGTCTTCTTGGTGCTTGGAGCAACAGTGGAAGGGCTTCTGGAGTCTGGCCCTCTGGTGGACCTCCTGATGGCACCTGGTTTTGGGCCACTGTGTGACAGAGTGTTGGACTGAATGGGCCATTGGCCTGTTCCAACATGGCTTCTCTTATGTTCTTATGTTCTTATGTTCTTAAATAAGATAGCCCTATACCAAATAGATAATGATCTTACTAATCAATCTTAGTACTATTTCCGCCCCCCCCAAGAAATGACCATTTAATTGTGTAGAGGATGCAGTTTATGCAGGTTATCCAGGTTCCCTACTAAGATGGGCTTCAACAATTTGACAATCACTGTGATAAGACCACCAGTTACCACTGCACAAAATCTTTGCAAAATGTGCTTCTCGCATGGGAGGAAAAGAGGTATGGGATATAGGAACTAATATAAAGGTAGAGCCAAAAGGCTAGACATAGACTTTTTAGATGGTTTGTGAAAAATAATCTCTTTCTCCCTTTGTGCCAGTGTTCAAATCCCCATGTGCTATGAATGGAACCATTCCTATAGATAAGCTTATGTTCACACCTGATGAATGTGAGCAGCCTTTGCACTGTTCTGTGAGAGCCGTAATCCAGTGTTCTCTGTGTCCCCCTCCCCATACTGATACTGTCAAAATGGGCTGTCCTAAGCTGTGTTCTGAAGAGGTGTAACAGTTGTTTATTATTGACTGAGAATGAAAACATAAAGGAGAATCATTTACATGTTCTAAGAAGTTCCAAGTAGCTCAGGGCAGTATCTATAGCTTGTCTCCTTCATTGTATCTTCACAGTAGCCCTGAAGACTGGCCCAGGGTCACCAAGTGATTGAATTGGCTAACAGGGAATTCATGTTTGAGAGACCCTAATCTGATACTCTTCAATTAAGTATTAGAAGCCCAAGTACATTTAACTTTTGTATCAGTGACCATCACAGCACATGGTATTATTAGGAAAGTGGAAGCTACTTGGAAAAGTAATTTGTTGAAATATGGTATGAATTGACTATGCTAATTAGATACACTGTGGGCAGACAGATGTATAAACACACATGATTTCAACTCCCACCTGTTTCTTTTCACTGTCCAGTTCGATATGTGCATCCTTGGAAGTAAGCACAAATTTCTGTTCTTAAGCTCTCTGAAGTGTGCATAAGATTCAGGCTTTATAAAATATCACTGGTATCATCATCACCATAATTAATAATAATCATTATTATTATTTTATTTTTATTTACTTTTAAAGAACATTTCTGTGCTGTTTTCCCACCGCAATAGGGTCTCCAAGGCAGCAAACACAGAAACATTAACACATTTCAACATTAATGATGTGGTCCATGGGGTCGCGAAGAGTTGGATTTGACTGTGTGACTGAACAACAACAACAACTATACAAAATAATCAATCAAAAACATCTAAATACACATAGCACCAAAACCAGGGAGGAGGGCCAATAGCAGTTATTGGGAAAATGCCAAACAAAACAAAAAAGTCTCACCCACTGGTGGAAGGCAACAACACAGAGAGACAGAGAAATCTCCCTGGGGAGTTCCAATGTTTTGGCACCACAACAGAGAACATCCTTTCTCAGGTTGTCAGCTGTCTAGTCTCTGATGGCAAAGGCTTTCAGAGAAGGGCCTCCAAAGATGACCGGAGTGAGTGGGTAGGTTCATATGGGAGAAGGCAGTCTTTTAGGTATTCTAGGGCTTTATAGGGCAATGCCAGCACCTTGAATTGGTCCCAGAAGAAAATTGGGATCCAGGATGGATGGAACAATACTGGAGGGATGTGGTCCCTATGATCTTCTCCAGTCAATATCCTGACCCCAGCATTCTTTACTGACTGTAGCTTCTGGGCAGTCTTCACAGGCAGCTCCGCATAGAGTGTGCAGTAATCAAATCTACTTGTTACCAGGGCATGCACCACAGTTGTAAGATATTAAACCCCCCTACCCGCCCTCCCCAGGAAGGATTACAGCCAGTGTTCCCTCTAAGTTGGGTTAGTATGAGCTAGCTCACAGTTTTTTAGCCTCTGGCTCACACATTTTTGCCTTGGCTCAGGAAGGATGGCTCTAGAGCAAACTTATTTATGCAGTAGCCAAATCGCTGGCTCACAACTTTAATGCCAGCAGCTCACAAAGGAGAAGTTTTGCTCATAAGACTCCACAGCTTAGAGGGAGCATTGACCACAACTGGCTCACCTGGCCATTGCTGCCACCTGTTTATCCAACAGGTCAGGTTCCAGCAGCACTCCCAAACTCCCAACTTGCTCCTTTAGTGGAAGTGCAACCCTATCCAGAACAGAAGATGTCCCATCTCCTGCGTCAAACTTTGCCCCCACCAGTAGTACCTTCTTAGGCATCCTTAGCACCATTGAGGTTCTATCTGGTCACTTTCTTATTCATTAAACAAAACCAAAAAATTGAAAAGCACAGGCTGAGTTCCTTTTGAAACCAAACAGATCTGTTTCAGATAATGCAAGTTTAGACATACACATATGTTATTAAAAGTACCCACAAGTAGATCTGAATATTATGTGCATGCAATATTCTTTTGAACGTTTGCTCCTTAATGCAATTAATTCATGAAATCACAAAAGATACATGAATGGAGAGTCAAAGGTGTCTTTGACATGCCTGTTTAAAGACATTAAACACAAAATGACTCTGAACTGGAACTTTTTGTGTATTTGTAACCAAATGAACAAGGAATGCTTATTTAGTTTGACCCCCTTAATAAATATGGCTCTAAAATTTAGCTGGTACAAGTGGAAACTGGAAAATTCACTCTTAATGAAGTCTATTTTCCATCTCTCTGTGATGGTGCAGATCCAAAACACAAGGAATGTGATCTGTCTTACCACCTCTGATTCTCTTAAACTATGCAAGTATAATATGCAATCAGGGGAGTGGTAGGAAAGTTCTTTGATGGAGAGGTAATGGAAGATTGTAACATGTAGTTTCCCATGATGCATCTTAATGACGTTTAGTCCAAAAGAGCAGTATAAATCCAGATGTTCCTTGCACATTTTCCATATTTTAGAAAGACTAGGAAGTGTGCATTTGCAGTGCATTGTAAAGTAAGGATGAACAAATTTACTCAAAACTGCAGTTTCAGATACTCTAACACTAAGCTTATGAGAACAATAAGTACCCTGCAGACTTCTATTCTGGAGGATGTATGGATGCAAGCTGACGTAAGTGAAGTCTGATTTTGGCAGCAATGGTCTTGAAGTCTGAGTAAACACGCTTATGGCCAGGATTTTAGGTGCCAGTCATTAAACTGCTTACTTTGGTGTACTTCCATTAAGTTCAAGGGGGACTATTCTACAGGGTAAG